ATTCTTTATTTCTTCTATTGTGCGCAGGGCCTTAGGGCCATTTCATAATCTGCACATAAACGTGTGCATAAAGAAAATTATCACATTTCTGTCATAAAGACAAACATAAAATACGATTTATGCATATGATTATGCGGCTATGCAAGTTTGTGTGGACTTAGGGTTAAGACCAAAGCATAAATCAAGCATAATTTCGTTGTAATTAAAACTAAATAATCGAAAAAAAAAGAACTAAATAATCACGTGTTGAGATACAAAATTATGAATATTCTTTGGTCACTTCCAAAATACAATAATTTCTGTTTTTTTAGAACTTCAATCGATCAGTGTGGTTGTTAACAGTTGACATATCAGCTGTTTCAAATAAATAAGTACCATCTGTCGAACTTGTCAAGTGTCGAACGTTGTTTTTACAGATAAATTGGAAAGAAAAACTCCATCAAAGTTACAACGTTCATTTGCATTGTGTAAACTTTTACGATATGTTTTATAAATAAAATAATTATTACCCGGTTTTGCGTTATGATGTCACTGTTTATTTTAATGCCGAGACGCTGCTGTGTCTCCAAATTGTAAAAAATATTACTTCGCATGAATGATTTATAATTAAAAGACGTGAGTATACAAATATTAATTAAATGGAACAGTTAAATTGAATAAATTACATAACATTCGTATTAAACGAGTCAGTATAATTAATTTTTACACGCTCTCGCAATAATAAATGTATTGTTGTCTAAAACACTATAAAGAATTAATGAACGTATAGTACCTAATGCGTGACATATTTACATTTATTTTATATTTTTTTGATAAAGTTATCTGTAACCGGTAATATGAATTTTTAAGGTTATTGTTTATGTTGGGTAAATCTTAATATTTAATTATTATTAAGTAATATAATTCAAATTATGATAAAAATTAATATATATTAATTTCAAATAAAAACTATTTTATATTAATATTACATGTGATGCTTCATGTATTTTTATTTATTTTTTATTTCTTCTACTATTATTTTATTGTGCTACCAGAATGGAAAAGATAATGGAAGAGACTAATTGCAAGCCTGCGTATCAAGGATACTTCATAGGTCATAACGATGCAGTTACTGCTTTAAACTTTCATCCAAATGCTGATCAACTCATATCAAGCAGTATGGACAACACAGTAATGTTATGGCGATTGAAACATTTAAAGCCAGCTTACAAATTTATAGCCCACAAAGAGGCTGTCTTAGACGTGTGCTATTCACCAAATGGAGAAGTTATGGCCAGTAGTTCAAAAGATAGATCTGTAAGAATTTGGATTCCTAAAGTTAAAGGACATTCCTTTGACTTTAAGCCTCATAGTTCTGTTGTGAGATCAGTACAGTTTAGTCCAAATGGAGAAAAGGTAATCTTAAATTCAATTATCTAATTATTAGTTATTTTGTTATAGATTTTGCTATAGACAGTTTATGCAATTGTTTATTATAATTTTTAGTTAGTTACTGCGTCGAATGACAAAAGTATAAAGCTGTGGATACCATATCAAAAAAAATTCCTTAAGACATTTAGTGGACATACATATTGGGTAAACTGTGCTAAATTTTCTCCGGATGGTAAACTTTTGGTATCATGTAGCGATGACAAAACAATAAAAGTCTGGGATATTACCAGCGGGCGATGTGTCAAAACTTTTAATGAGATAAAAGGTTTGTTAAGTTAAAGTTGTTGCATCATAATTTCGTATATTAGTAACCTAAAGTAAAACTTTGCTATATTAGCTCCTGTTAAATATGTGGAGTTTCATCCAAGCGGTACGACTATTGGATCAGCAAATACAGATGCGTGTGTCAAATTGTATGATTTAAGAACAGATTCTTTATGTCAGCATTATGCTGTTCATACAGAGCCTGTGAATATGATTAAATTCCATCCAAATGGTAAATTTATGTTAACAGCATCTGTAGATTCTACAATGAAGGTAGTTTAAGATTTTGGTTTCATTTAGCGATTTCAATAAATTATTATCCTATTTGCTGTTAACAAGAAACATCGACTAGATTTTAGATATCCTAGAAGGCCGTCCGATTTATACTCTCAGAGGACATTGTACTAGCATAACATCCATAACATTTTCAAAAGATGGTACACTTTTTGCTTCTGGTGGCATTGATAGACGAATTCTAATATGGAAGTGTAATTTATGTGTGAATGACCAAAGTAGAGAAATTCCTGCACAGTTAGTGTCGTCTACAACAAACAAGAAGTTGATAACGCGAATCTCTAGCAAACAAAAATTTGACAATGTGGAAAAATCGACCAGCAGCGAACAAGTACAAGATATACATAACCAGCACGATCAAGAGAAAGTAATAACTTAATATATGCAACTAATTTATTAAACTATAAAAGGCAGCAGTTATTTTATTTTAAAAAACCATGCTGTTACGTTATATCAGAAACTTTAATTTTATAAGATATATACATTTCAGTATAAATTAGAAAAATCAGACTTAAAATCATATAGGAGTCAAGAACTATCAACGAAAGATGAAATCTAAATCAACATGGATATTGAATTTTCTGGAAAGATTCTTTTCCATTATATAAAAATATATTAATTCAACAAAATAAAACATCGTCCGTTGCCTATGTTGAATCAATCCATTAAAACGTTCTGTGGTACAATTATTATATCACACTATAAATATATTAGAATAATGCTTTACAGTATTATAAGAGATAACGAACTAATTCCTTCAAGTATTAGCTTATAGAATAATATGTAAATATGTAAATGTGTAAATATATTTGACAATTTGTTTTCCAAAGAATTTTAAATGAATAGTTATAATGTATATTATAAAGATGAAAGAAATTTTCTAACAAGTAGTATTTCAATGCTTTATATTATGCAGGATGTCTCGTATTTAAATGTCAAAACTTCATGAACGTGCACATCGATTAAAAAAAATTTTCAAGAGATATGCTCATTTTTTTGGTTTTGGAAAAAAATTGTAAAAAGAACGTTTTTATTTTTTACTTATTTATCATTTATTCATTCACACATTTATTTATTTATGTCATTCCTTAATTAAGGCATTGTTCAAAATGTTGATTTTTTTGTAGCAATGCAAGCATTGTACTAACAGCCCGTAGACTGTTGCAATTAGAGTAATGATCATGTGACTTTTTCACTAAGATGGAAATGTAAAAAGTGAAAATTTTATTTTAAAAGTAATGGAGAAATTTTTCACTTTTCACATTTTCGTCTTAGGAAAAAAGTTACATGATTTTTACATTAGTTACATTATCTGAATAGTGTTCTAATGATTTTCCTAATTAAACAATATTTTCATTAAGGAAGTGACACATACAATATATAAATAAGTAATAAATAAATAAGTAAAAAATGAAAAATTTTTTTGTTTTTTTGTTTGTTTGCGATTTTCTCCAAAATGAAGTGAAAATAGGAAAATCTATAAAAGACATCTTTTTATCGATCCTCTATACGCTTCCGAAGTTTTAACATTTAAAAATTTGCTACATCTTATATATACCCAAAAAATACAGCGTATCTTGTGTTACATTATTTAAATTTATAAATTGTAATCAAATATATATATATTTTGTAATTTGTACTGCTTGGACATTTTATTCTACATTATTTTAAATATACTATTTTTGTACACATATACACACACACACACACACACACACACACACACACACACACACACACACACACACACACACACATATGTACGAGTAAGTGTAATTTTTTTATTAAAAAAATGTACATACATAAATATCTCTATATTACATGATATTATACCTATACATTAACAGCAACTGTTGCAATGTATCACATAATATTGCTCATTTTCCTTAATGAATCCCTAAAAGTTTTTCGATCGTTTCTAAAATCTCGAATCGAGCAAAGTGATCACGAAGACTTTCTTTCCTAGTAACGCTATCTTGCTGTAAAAATCATCTACATATCACAGTAAATGGTATGAGATGCTTTGAACGTATTATAAATCATAACATTTTTTTTGTTAAACTTATAATGTTTTATCATTATAATATTTATAAATAGATAATCAATTGGCATCTAATTAGTTGATGATATGATCGTACAATACCTGGAGAACTTAAGATAATTTTTTAAAAATTTCCAAGTATTCGAATAACGAGCCTGACAATCCATTCGGAAATAATTAAAATGAGCTCAAAAAGTAATGTTATTTAACTATTTGAAAAAAATATCCATTTTTAGAACGCTTTTAACTTTCAAAAGGCTTGACCTATAGACAAACTTTTAAAATTAGGAAATCAAATTTATGAAGGAACTATTATCAAAATTAAAAGTAAATTCGTGTATGCATGTACACGGCATAATTACATGTTGAAATATTTTGTGGTAGGACTACTATTCAGATCACTTCTAAAATTTATTTCTTTGGAACTTCAATTGATTAGCATAGTTATTGATATCTGATCGAAATACATATTTAAATCTACAGACTTGTTTTGTTTGGAAAAAGAAATCGACAATTATAACGTTTGGACACAGCGTGTAAACCTTTTCGCTAAGATATTCTGTAAGTAAAATAATATTGTTATGAACAATATATTCTCTCATGAATGATTTGTAATTAAGAGAAAAATATTAATTAAATAGGACAGTTAAATCGAATAAAGAATACAATATTCGCATTGAACTAGTCAGTATCGTTAATTTTTATACTCGCGATAAATGCGTTGTTAATCTAAAACACTAAAGAATCATGAAGGTGTTTTCGTGTTTAATATTTTTTGTATATATATATATATATAGTATATTATTTTATGTATATATTTAGGATTATTATATATATATTTATGTTAAACTAATTCTTGTACCTTAGTACGTATAACAATAATTCGTAAGTTACGATTAAAAATTAAAATTTCACTATATGTCATGTATAATTTTGCTTTTAATTAATTATTCTTTTACTATTGTGGATTCATTTCTTCTTTTAGTCATTTCTTTATTATTTTGTGATTATTTTACTGTGTTGCTAGGACAATGGAAAAGAGTATCTTTAAACGTACGACGTACTTATACCGACAGTGGAAAGGTCACGACGATGACATTACAGCATTAAGCTTCCATCCACAAACTCATACATTGGTATCGAGTAGCCTGGATACAAAGTTAGCATTGTGGAGACTAGATAAGTTGAATTGTGAAAAATTTAAAGCCCATAAATCCTATATATTCGACGTATGCTATTCGCCAGATGGTGAATTTATAGCTACTGCTTCTAAAGATCAATCTATCAGAATTTGGAACGAAGATCACTTAAATTTCGCAGAATACAGAGGTCATCGTTCTCCCGTGAGATCGGTACAATTTAGTCCAAAGGGAGACAAAGTAATTTTTACGTTTTATTAATTATTAATCACAGGGTTGGGTAGTGCTAAGTTAAAAAGATAAAAGTTAAATTAAAAAGTTAAAAAGTTAATTAATTTTAACTTAACTTACAATTTAAACTCTTAACTTTTTAACTTTATTTAGTTAAATTTTATTCGTAACTATTAATTTTTTTTAAGTTAAGTCTCAGACATAATACGCGGTAACAGTGATAACTTAAAATTACTAGAATATTTATAATTTCATTGGTCAACACCTAGCAAATTTGCTCATTTTTGTAATTTTCATCTCATTTCAAATTACACAATCGACTCCCAGATTTTAATCTGTCAGAAACCGTGTATATATCTAGTTTTTGGTAGATTGAAATCAATTATTCCTTATTATTAAAATATAACACATCAATACCTTCGGCTTATATTGACCGTTTGTTCAGTGTAGGAGGACTCATTTTCAATAACTTACGAGAAAATATGTCCGACAAAAATTTCGAAATGATTTTATTACTTATATTTAATAAGTATACGTGAACAAAATATTCGAACAGTATATACGTGTAAACAGTATATATGAACAAAACAAATATTGTAGAATATAGAGTATTTTCTAAATGGAATGTATATTTGTTATTTCTGTTATTTGTAAGGCTAAAATCCTGGAATCATAAAATAAAAAAATATAAAAAACAAATTTAACTTTTAACTTTTTTTATTAACTTAACTTTTAATTCAATGAATTTCATTATAAATTAACTTGTATCTTAACTAAGTTAAATTTTCAAGGTTATTAACTTTAACTTATCTTAGTTCAAAAAAAAAAGTTAACTTACCCAACCCTGTTATTAATCAATCAGATTCTTGTTATAAGTGATTTACGTAATTATTCATCGATATATTTAGTTTGTTTCTGTGTCAAATGACGAAAATGTATTGCTTTGGGTACCTTACCGTGGAAAATATTTCAAGACATTTAGTGAACATACAGATTGGGTCAGATGCGTTAAATTTTCTCCCGATGGAAAACTTTTAGTATCATGTAGCGATGACAAAACAGTAAAAATATGGGACATTACCAGCGAACAATGTGTTAAAACTTTTAATATGGAAGGTTTGTTGATCAAATGCATCATAATTTCATCTTTTAGGAACTTGAAGTAAAATTTTTCTATATTAGTTCTCGTTAGATACATAGAGTTTCATCCAACTGGTACAATTATTGGATCAGCAAATGTGGATGGTTATATTAAATTGTATGATCTAAGAACAAATTCTTTATATCAGCGTTACACTCATGACAGAGGGATAAATATGATCAAATTCCATCCAAATGGAAAGTTTATATTAACAGCGTCTGATGATTATTCAGTGAAGGTACTTTTAATTAAAAGTATTTTAATTAATTAATTTGATTTCATACAGTGATTTCAATAAATTATCACCAAATTGTTATCTGTTGGTAACAAATAATATCGGTTAGATTTTAGATATTTTAAACGGCCGTCCAATTTATTCTCTCAAGGAACATTATGATAAGGTAACATGTATAGCATTTTCAAATAATGGTGAGCTTTTTGCTTCTGGTAGCACGGATCAACAAATTCTAGTATGGAAGTGTAATGATTTATGTATGGATGGTCAAAGTAGAAAGAATTCTACATTGCAATTAGTGTCTTCTGTAACACCAAATAAGAACTTGATAATGCCGAGCTCTGTCAAACCAAAATTTGACGATGGGAATGAAAGATCGAAAAGGGAAGAAGAAGATGAAGAATATATAAGAAAAGTATATGAGAAGCTAATTCCAAAAAACGTAATATAACTTAATATATATAAATATGCTCTATTAAACTACAGAAAATAATGGTTGCAATGTGTTAAAAAATAATAATGATTTGCTAAGTTATATCAAGAACTGTTAGTTTCATAATATACAGGATGTAAATTTTTGCCAAGCGCTTTTGTATAGATAGGACTAAACTGAGTCGAAAAGTCATCTACTATTTTGCAATTTTTGTAATGGTTAATGAAATATTAATTATTAAAAATCACTGAATATTGGTTTTCAATAATTTTTTACTCAAATACTATCAACTTTGCAGAAAAACAGCGAGAGACAAAAATTGTTTGTTTTCTTCTCGTAAAGTTCTGAGAATTTTTTTCAGAATTTTTTAATATCATATTTTCTTATGTTGATAAAAATAAGAAAATGCAGTACTAAAAAGTTGATAAAAAATTCTGAAAAAATTCTTAAATTTCTACGAAAAGAAAATAAATGTTTTTTATCTCTTGCAGTTTTTTGTAAAGTTGATAGTATTTGAGTACTTTTCAACTCAATTTAGTCCGCTCTATCTACACAAAAGTGCTTGGCAAAAACTTACGGGACACTGTATATCAAGCAAGAAAAGAAAGAAAACCTTTAATGGTCAAGCTGGATCTTAATGTAAATTTATGGATGTAAATTTATGTACCTATGTAGCAATTTATTAAATTGCCCACTGAAATAATTTTTTAAATTAATAAATTACTAAATAATTTAATTTGTGATATTATTGTTATGTAGTCCAATCGCATTTCAAGATTGAAAAATTAATTTAGTGCGCAATTTAAGTGATTACATATATAGATAGTATATAAATTCACATATAATTATTTAAGCACTTAAGATCCAGTTTGAAAGATTTCCTTTCCTTTCTTCTTATATGTTCACATATATGGTCCTAAGATCTCTTTGTTTAATATATCATTGCAGTATTTATCAAACACATTAAAAAAATCGCATTCAAAATCAGACGATAGTGCAGGATTATCAGCAAAAATCATGGAATCTGAAAAGATGAACATAATGAACGTTGAATCTCCTCAAGAAGATTATGCAAACTACGTGCCCATGATCCCAAAACAGCCCAACATTTCAAAACAATCCCAAACAGTCTTAAAAGATCAGACATCGTTCAATACACTTTCTAGTCAGTCTATTAAAGCATTAGAAAAAGATTCAGTTTTAAAGCAAATACAATCATTACGTAAAAATTACAATGTATTAGAACAACGCTTGACAATATTAGAACAGTCATTTAAGAAACTATATGTAAAATTGTAGTTTTTTTTAGCTAATACTGATTAATCACTTTGAACAATATGTATGCAGGGCATGTATTTAAAATACTTGTATTTAAAACACGGTTTTTGTATTTTATTTTGTATCTTATATTTTTTAAAATTGAAAAATTAAAAGTTTTTTATACTATGTAATTCAAATAATGACATTAATTGTCAATATTAATATGAAATACATACTTTTAATCTTTCATTATTAATAGTGAAATACAAAATATAAAATACTTTTATATGCTCCGTATAAAATACAAAATATAATTGTATTTATCTTATAAATAATGTTTTTCAAATAAGTAAAAATATTTCCATTACATGCTTAGTCCTGATAATAATGTATGTGTGAATATTGACAATTGTTTAATTATTTAAGCAAATTTTTAATTGAATAATTTTATAATGCATATTACAATCAATTGTTGATTTGATTACAAGCGAAGTTAATTGCAAACGACGAGATAATAGATTATAGCGTAAACTAGCTCGACACTTTATGCGCCACGATTTCTATTACCTGTTCTAATTCTTTGTCTTTTTTCCTCTTCTGTTCTTGATCCTTGCTTATCTTTGAAAAGAGGAGTGAGGAAGAATGAAAGCGAGAGAGGAGGAAGAAAGAAGAAAAAGAGGGGAAGAGAGAGAATAGGAAAGAGAGTAAGAAGGATTATTTATTCGTCTGACTAGTTTGACTGTGATTTTAATTTAATAATATCGTCCGAGTATGATTATCAATTATAGAGATAATTGTAAAGACAAAATTGTAATTTTGCAATAATATACAAGATACTACAGTGCATTACAAGTATACTTATTTAGAGCATTTATATGATAAAAAATCATGAATTTAATAATATGTATTATCCAAATATTTATATTAATATAATCGCTAATTTATATTAATTGTGGATAATATTAACATTCTTCAATTATCTCCGGGCTCCAGACTTTTTGTGAAAATTTGTCCACGGTTGACGATCTTTAATAATATCTTGTTGGTATTATCAATTAAAATGCTTACTAGATTATTAATAGATCTCCAAATACTGTAAAATCATATCTGGAAATAACTAAAATGGATTAATAAGCGAAAGTAACATTATTTTCTTTTAATTGAAAACAATATAAGTTTATAAAATTAAAAATAAATTTATATGCACCAAATAATCGCGAGTGAGATTTTGTGGTAATTAAGGAACTATTCTAATCACTTCCTTTATATTCTTTAAAACTTTTCCCTAATGAAAAAATTTCGCTGAAATTTTTCCACATATTTTGGAACATTTCACGAAATTGCTGAAAATTTGTTGAAATTTCACTTGAAAGTGAATTTTTTAACTAACATATTAAAAAATTGGAACATTTCAGCAAAATTGTTGAAAATTTCTTGAAATTTCATTGAAAGTGAATTTTTTAGCTGATATACTAAAAAAAATCGCTGAAACTGAACTGAAATTTTTGCTGATATTTTGCTAAAAATGAATTTTTCAGCTAAAAATCGCTGAAATTAAACTGAATTTTTTCTAAAATGCTGAAATTTTGCTGAAAAGTGTTCTAAAACGTTGAATATAATTTCAGCAAAATTTTTCCACCAGGATTCAATTGATTAGCATAGTTATTGGCATATGTTTGAAATATTAAATTACTACCATAGACTATAGTAGTTTATGTGAATAAACATTGTCGAATAATAAAATTAGACTCACCTAATTCCATACGAAAATTTATGCGTATGCGTACGTGCAATATTGTAGTAGTATATATGTATGTTGTGATGCATTGGTGACACGTAAATCGTATGTGTATAAAATTATAAATCCTAGGATGCGTTTCGTTTCACGCATGATGTCCATGATGTATGATCATTTTTTATGGCCCGTATTCAGAACGTGCTTTCATCTCTGAAATTCTATAGTATGCTATAATTTAAGCATGTTAGCACGCTAACATCGTTGTAAGCGCGTTCTGAATACGGGCCTAAATCTTTTTTTGATATTCGAAGGATAAAATGATATTTATGGCCGATATTCATAATTGATTCTTATTTCAAGACTGTCTTAAATAATGCTTAAGACGCTAATACGGCTCTCTGATTGATTCGTGACTTCTTAAGACCGTACTTAAGATGATCTTGAATATAAGATCTGATTATGAATATATCACCTATTGATATATCATGTACCTTGCATGAAATGGAACGTATCTCTATTGAATAAAAGATAAAAGATATAAAAGAGACGAGTATAGAATGTTGACAAACAATAAAGATGTATTCACTACACTTGATGTCTCGATGTCCTTGGTCTTTATTATTCCATTGTCCTGTGTTACTAGTAGAACAATGAAAGAAACTGCCTGTGATCCAAGATGCTGGAAATATTTGAGGTCACAAAAACGATATCACAGCTTTAAGCTTTCATCTGTTACGAAATCGATTCATAACGGATAGCTTAGACAAATAAGAGCGTGGAGATTAGATACGTGGATATGGCAATATGAAAGCCTTAAAGCTCATGAAGTGAGCTATATTTTCGATGTATGTTATTCACCAAATGGTGAGCTTATAACCAGTGCTTCAAGAGATAAATCTATTAGAATTCAGAGCTCTGAGGCTAAACATTATTTCGCAGAATTTAGAGCTCACGGATTTACCGAGATCGATACAATTCAATCCTAGTGGAGACAAAGTAATCTCTAATGTAGAACCGATGCTTTATATTATAGATATAAAAAATGCAGCATATTTCGTTACATTATAGTAAATTAAAAAAATATAATTGTAATACACAAACTACTTAAGATAGTAGAAGATTTTATTATATATGATCTTAGTATATTATTTTTGTATTTTTTGTACATACAAGAGTGGGATATTTTTTTATAAATATATATGTACAACAAATAATCTCTGTATCAATATATGCCTATACATTTTTTAGAAGTACCTGCTACGATCATATAAATAGTTTTCTATAATGAATCTCTAAAATTTTTGATAGTTTCCTGATCATTTGAAAATATAAGAGTATTTTATTCCCTGATAAATCTATCCTATCTATAAAAATTTTTACATATTACATTAAATAATATAGATACTTTGAATATCGTAACGTACATGTTCTTTTTATTAAAGTTATAGCTGTCATTATAATGTTTATAAATACCCTCAATATTATATAATCTAAGCAGCCAATGCTTATATGATCGTATAGTATTTGAACATTTAACATAATTTTGCTGATAGAAAAAATTAATGAAATTATATAACAAAATCTCTTGCAAAAAATTTCTGATCTGCAATTATACGAATATAAAAATAAATGTGTAGAAATATTGATCTTTTATAAAATATTGATAATTGCGCAATTAATTTTTTAATAATATTTCGAAAAAAAAATTACAATAAATTCATTTGAGCGTTCATATATTTGCAAAATTAATATTTCGATGCTTTATATTATATGAGTGATTATAAACATAGCTTATCTTGAGTTGCATTATATATAGTAAATTTAAAGAATATAATTTGTAATATGTAAGCTGCTTAATATAATACAAGACATTTTCTTATACATAATTTTAAATACATTATTTTTGTACTTTGTATGTACATATATTTATGAATTAATAATTGAACGCGATTTTCTTTTTTACAGAAAAAATATAAGAATATCAAGAACAGAATCTGTTATATAAATGCTTGACGTATTTAGTAGCCCCTGTTACAATCACGTCACATAATCACCCACTTATTAATTCCCTTAATGAGTTTGTAAAAATTGGCAAGTTTTTCCTGTTTTCTTGAGCGTTTCTAAAATCTCATTCGAATTGAGCGCAGTGGTCACGAATACCTTCTTCTCTGGTAAATCAATCTTGATGTCATCGATACCTACATATCATACAGTAATATAATAAGTTAGAGATATTTTGAACATAAATATCCCAGTCAACCAGCTAAAGTAACAATATTAACAGTAAATTATTATTATTGTTATTATATATTGTTATATTATTGTTATTATTATTGTTATTATATAAATATATATATAATTACAATAATAATAATTTCACACTCAATAATATAAATAAAATATAGCACATATTGTACAACAGTTATTGCATTATTAAGTGTGAAATTATAATACTAATGCATTACCTTTAGTTTGTGTCGACTGGAATGTATTTTTTTTTCCTAAAAAATTACAACCGTGCCATTTCTTATATTTGACACTTCCATTTCCCTATGCAGTATGTTTAACCTCATTTTACACAGTTCTGATCAAAAATAATGTCTTCAAAGGATACCGACAAGATATAATTTACGAAATACGGTGCATACACGAAAATATTTTTGCGTCTGCAAAATTGATTGAAAATGTTTTCAAATACCTGCTTTTTTCTTGAGTACATTCTGCACAGCTGTCGAGCATCCCTCGCACGTCATTTCGACGTTAAATTCGTGTACCTTATGAACAAATTAATCGTCAAACATTGTCGTCTAAATATTTGTTTAAAGTTGTCAAAATTTCGAGATTGGAATATCATTTTGCTTACCTGAGCTGCCATAATAACGTCTCTGAGGAGTACGTAGGTTCGACTTCAATGTATCAAATGGGTTATTGCCAAATCAGATGACGTGGTAGACCGTAGGACTGATCGTATTAAAATCATGAATATCAGCACGCAGAAATCTTATCTGCAGCTTCACTGTTAAAAATAACGTAGAGATTGTGCTAGCCAATGCTGGCCATTTCTGATAATTCTAATTTTCAAGTAACTATATATACAGGGCGTATCGAGTCTGGAAACGGTCGTTGATTAAAAATCTCAAATTTCGAAATCTTATTTTTATTTTTACGTAAAACTAAATTTTTAGTGCAAAAATGCGAATAAGAGGAATAATCGCTAATGGCCATGATCTTGATGAATGTTATCCACGACATGATCCTGAACAACATTCAAGAGCAGAGAGAATCAAGGGAGAGTGGAGTGGAGTGGATAGTGATTCTCTTCTCTGATTGGTTCCCAAATGTGCATGTGTGTGTATGTACATACATATGTCACACACAGCCGTGTTCCAAAATTACTGCCAGCACTAAAAATGCTACAATTTACGTTATGTGCAGTATAGACTTCCATACAAACAGTCAATTTTGGAACACAGCCACAATACTAAACGTACAATAGTTCCATCACACTCCTACCACATATCCTACTCACTTCAACGGTGCACTAAACATGGCAGTTTCCGGCTGAATCCGCTCCATTCTCTCTTGATTCTTTCTGTTAAGAGATTTTAGCCATCGGTCGAACATGTTACGTAATGCCGACGATATCGTACCTTCAAGTCTTATAACTCGAAAAGTACTTAATGAAAAATGACTTTATTATGTTTTGAAAAACTCTTGACATCAGCTATTAGATTTTGGCATCAAAAATAGGATATTCCATTAAAAAAATCGATTTGACCTTGACCTGACCTTGCCGATGCCCAAGATAAAATGGATGTGATTAATGAATAGTTCTTTTTAAACCTTATAATTTTTGTCTGAAATCTTTTTTTCAAAAATGCTTTGCATTCGAGATGTACGACCATTTCCAGACTTTTGATACACCCTATATATGTGTTTGTTGAACCGACTGCTGATTTTATGCCCGATAAAAACAATCCCGAGAATATCTAAAAAAGAAAATCTGATTAAAAGCTAATTTAACACAAAGATAAATTATTGTATTAATTTTTTGTATACAATCACTGTTTGAAGAATTTTCACAATCGTTTAATTATTTTCATAAAGCAATATAATTAATGTGTCAAGGCTTTTTTTAAACAAGCAATTACAGTTAATTAAAAAAATAAAATTCATTTTTTAATTACATACGCACAGCGTTACAAAATTCATCAAATGTTTCGACTTACAAAGTCTTCTTCAGTGATAATAAATAATAACATTTTTATAGAACCCCTTACAAAGTCAAACGAAATTACATGCAATACATAATAAAATTGTCGCTCAAATCTGATTTTACATACTCATTTCTGCGTTAGGATATTAAAATTCGAAATAGGTATCCAGTCAGAAGTTTGAAAGTCCAAATTGTAAAAGTGTGTTTTATCGATTCTTCGGTTGTTATCGAGAATCCAGTTCAGTCAGTAATTTAATAAAAAATACTACAATTCGATTGAGGATTTTTTCAATGACCATTCTATTATATTCTGTATAATTAAATGTCAATTTATAATTAAATAATTAATATAATAATTAATATAATAATTAATTTAATAATGAAAAGTTAATCACACTTACAGTTATTTATATAGAATAGTCTATTGACCCTCAGTTTCACAACTCATGATTAACTCTTAACTGAGGTTCAACTTATTTTTCATCTTTTTCTCATCTAATTCTCATTTAATTCTAGCATTAGAAAAAGATCAGGAATAAGTTAAACTTCAGTTAAGAGTTAATCATGAATTGTGAAACTAGACCTGAATCGAAATCGAAGAGTATTCGTTTTAGTTTCATTGACATTCAAAATTATGCTTGTTAGAGTAATTGGATCTTGATCATTCAAGTTGCTTCATTCAAGTTCAAGATTCCAATGTAAGATTAACTTTAATCTCGATTTAACTTATTATTTTTCTTATTTTAATTTTTAGAATTAGAAAATTTTTCTTTTTCACAAATGTTTTATTTGAAATTAAAATAGAAATTACAGATGAGAACAGTTTAAAAATTAAACTTTTCTAATTTCAAATAAAAAAATTTTGTGAAGATATCCCTAAATTAATTTTAATAAAATATATTCTTATAAAGATTAAATAAAATCAATGACTATAATCTAGAAGATTATCATCTTCTTAATAATTCCTATCTAATAAATAAGTGGTATAAACAAAATGTTTTGTACAATATTTGTTGATAATTAAAAGTAATATTAGAGAACTTTCAGGGAATTCAGTTTTTATTTTCATCCTTGCATCTTGACATAAGGTAGAAAAGTATTACGATTGAATGCCTAGTTGTCAAACTCTGTATACTTCAGGACTGTCTGTTCAACTGCGGCTACGCGAGGAACAAGCTTACATCCTACTTACAGCATGATTTTGCGAGCATTTCGGCTAAAGAATGAACTTGCGATACAGATTTTTTTTTCCAGATCGACTATAATTTTCCTACGTTTTTTTTCCTCTTCCTGTTTTGAGACCACGATGGAAATTCTATTTCTACAATTTTCGATGGCGAATAGTGAATGAAATGTACAAATGTCTGATAAATTTGTCCCTGTTGCCTCTATGCTTCCTATGAATAAGAACATAGATTGGCACGGACGGCGACGGGATTTGTTGAATGCCTTGTGCGAATGAGAGATCTTATCACAGTAATCAGTTCGATTCATACTGAGAATATCTGCATTGCTCGTTTCACATATCGGATATTCCGTCGATTATAACTCTCTGTCATACGTGTATCACTCATCCATACATTTGTCTATAGTCTAATTTTGCACACTCAGTCATATTGCTCTATGATGTTAGTGATAATCCTTAGTCGTTACACAATTTGTTAATACACTTCTCGATACGCTTATCGAATATGGTTTCTGCAGGGATATATGGGACCATATTTACTGTAGCACGAAATATTTTGCTCTTTCCATTCATCCCGAATGATAACATAGTTGAATTCTTTTTTCTTCCCCTTTTTTTCTTATTATTCGCCCAAGTGGAGAAATTTATACACTGATTTTTACACTGACGAGGATTGGGGTAATTTATAAATATCGCAGCTCGTTTTATGCTTATCGATGGTTATAGGGCATATCTGTTACATTTATTCGCCCTACGAAGCATCAGGATTAGTGACAATGCGGCTGAAATGTAATTTTGTATAACAAATTGTACGTGGCGAGAGAAGCGGGGGTTTAATAATAATTCAGCTTTAGCTTTGGCGTACTTGTCACGTTTTCGGGATGATCCGAAGACACAAATAGGGATTGCATTATACTGGCAGTCCATAATTCAAGATTTTGGAGACTATTATTCTCCAATTACACACATACGTTTTTACGCACAATGTTACGTGTATTAATTAAGCAGTGTAACGAGACTCGGGATCTTTCATTAAAATATATCCGTTCTCTCAGTAAAAATATACGAGGAGACTTAATTCGGTCTCGATGAAAAAGACGTGTCACAGATGCATGCAAACCTGCGAAACGGAGCTCCATGGAATGCTACAGCATTATTAGGAGGTGGGAATAATTTGAGCACGTTATGAAGTGACTATTGCTAACTGAGACTCGTTTGTTGATCTATTCTATTTCTTATTATTCGATGTAAATGCGATGCAAACGCGTTGCTAATAAATCATAAAAGTATATCGAATGCTGAACGCAAGAGTCAATGATTGGAAGATAGTTATATTAAAAAGAAAAATGCAATTCTTTTGTACTAGCAAAGAGATGCGCTTTGTCGTAAAACAGCGGTTTATGGCGTGACGCAATTCTGGAGATAAAAACTGCGATTACTTCATCATATCGTTCACATTCAGTCCGTCGGACTGACTGGATTGTAGCCTGATGGCGGATTAGCGTTTTAGCGTGAATCCGGCGTCAGAGGAAACTGTAAGTATTCTGACCCGCTCTGCCGGTGGACGAAGCCGAGCCTTGTTGTTCCACAATGGTGCTCTGTTGCTCTAGTCTCTCCAACGATTCCACGCGAGTTCTTATAGAACCACCATAAGTGCGTACCTATTTTATTAACATCTCATTAAGCACTCATATATATTTTAAATCTTGCTATCTTATCAGAAGTTTCTCTTAAAGTTTCTGGATTTTAGAAATAATAAAACATACACATGTCAATATTAGAAAAAGGTTAGTCAATATTTCAGAAAATGAAACTAAGTTACAATTATTTAAGAAAATGATACTGATTCGTTTTATTGATATTGATTATGAAAGATATAAGCAATTGGCAAATGCAAATATCCATGTTAAAGAACGAAATTGATATTTTGTGTATACATTACATTTAATTTTACAATAATTAAAAAGTTACGAAATAAATATTATTGATGACATATACACAGTAACGTGTGTTATTATAAGTCTTATAAATTCAAAATAAGAAATATTGACAAGAATTTTTCTAACATTTATAAAAATGTAAGCAATCAGGATATTTCATCCAGAAATACTCTAATATCTGACTCTGTCAATTTAATAATACTTTCATAGCTTCCTGATACAAATATCGTAAGTGGCAATTTTATTTTATAATTATTAAAGTACTAATTAGATAAAATGATTTCTGAATGCTCCTGTACTGCTTGAAATAAATCTCTTATAATATGCAATATACAATAATAAAGCACACCAGAAATTTTAAGAAAAAACTTACTAAAAGCGAGCTCCTTGCCCCACGGTCATATTTCTCTGAATATTACATTTCACATATTTATCATTTTAAACTTTTCATAAAAATTTCATCACACAATAATTTTGCATATTTAGACGAATGATATACAAATTTAATCAAATCATCATTTATAAAATGTATAAAATAATAAATAAATAAAAGGTATAAAAATGTGCTGTAACATAAACGTACCTTGGACATGAAAAAATTAGGAAAAAATATGAACATAAGAAATTTTTAATAATACATTATTTTTACTCTTTTTGGAGTACATATTTTTTGAACATATATTAAATAAATTATTAAATAAATGGATTTTGTTATAAATAGGACACAAGTAGGGTGCGTTATATTTAACTTTGTATATCAATCTATACAAATTTCCATCAAGTTTCCAGCGAATTTGCACAAATGCAGATATTAAATCTGTTCTGTATCATCGACCATACAATAAATATGGGCGCTTTAGCTGGTTTATCTACTCACTGTCTGTAGATTAGACTTCAGACTGTGGGTGTTGGCCACTCGCGCTCACACAAGAGGAGTTAGACTTCCACTGCAGACTCTTACTTCTCTGGACTCCAGAGTTGCCGGAGGTCTCCTCTCTTGCGACTGTTGTACATTCGAACTACTCGCTACGTTATGATGTCCTGGTCGCGATGCATGGCTCGTCGCCACTACGTACTCTGTTAAAGTAACATCCGCAGTCCCACCAGATTCAAGTGGTATCGCATTCTGGCGAAAGTGTTCAAGCATATCATATATCGTAGGAAAACACAGATGTTGAACTCGGCAATGACCTTGATCATTTAGCGTCATTCGTAAATGCTGTAATAAAAATGAATATATTAAAACGTATATATTAAAAATTGTTTAAACATCATTTATCATTAAATGTTGAAAATGATGTAATTACTTTTGCTCTTCCTTGGAAATTAAAAGTTAACACAAATTCGCCTTTTCTAGTCTCGCTTTGCCGAACCAGGAAAACACCGTGACCGTTAGCTGCACTATGCAATACAAGCTGCGCAGCGTCCGAACGAGGAAGAGTGCCATGAAACCACGGGTATTCTCGTAAGCTACTCGATAAATCCAGCTCACCCTCATTAGCAGACACTGCAAGCAAACAAATATATATATATATATTTTTTTTTTAGTTATTGCCCTTGCCTGACTTACTCTTGCAGGATTTATTCCTTACTTTGCTCGATTTCTTGCTGAGAGGAACATAATTCTAGATTACTACTGCTGCGCACGTGAAGTCTCGGAGGTAATTCTGGTGGATTGCCCTGCGAGTCATCGCCGTGTTCATGACTAGCGGATCGGAAGCTTTTACTCGCCGAGTTGGCTCGTAATCGATCACTGTCGGATCCGATAGCAAGCGAACCGTGGCCCAGAGAATCTCCTAAAGAGTCACCAGGCCCGGAACCTGGAGCGCTCGAGCTTTGCTGTACCGTTCGCATACAGTACCTAATTGTCGCCAACCACGATTTCATGTCGTTCGAGTCGTGTGCCTCGATGACAAATTCCATATTTTGAGTCTTCAGGACGAATGTATTCTCGTGGTCCGGCATTTCGAGCGCTGTGGTTTCCCTCGCTTCTGTTATCGCCGAGCAAAAGACTCCGCTTCGTGGTTTCACAGCCTTCGGTGGAGAGTAGAACTCCAACATGTAACCACCGATGGCCTTTATCAAAGCTAGCCGTGACTTTTCCCATTTTTGCGTCCCATCTATGTTTTCTCCCATCAAGGCATTAACGATTCCTTCCTTACGACATTCCACTACAATTTTCGACAGCTTAGCTTTAGAATGTTTATCCTTGCGGTGTTCACTGTGAGATAATTCGACTTCATCGCTCTGTTGCTTGTGGAAGAAACTCTTGCCTTTTTTAAGTCCCTTAAAAGATAATCTGCGGAAGAAAGGTTTGTGACTGGGCTTCGGCGACACCGCCTCTCCTTCGTGTTCAGAATAGTCACTAAATTCCTCATGAGAGGATGCTCGAACTGGTGCATTAGTGTTTTGACTTGCAAGATTTATATCTCTTTCATTGGATACTATACTCCTAGTATCATGCAATGATAGCGATCTAGAAAATACAAGAGCACCGTTACTATATGTATATATGCTTAACCTAAAACTCCAAATTATCAATAATTTAAAAAAATTATAAAAATAAAAATGTAAATAAAATAAAATATATTCTTATAATATAATGAAATAAAATATATTCTTATACAATATATAATAAAATAAAATTATAAGCAACATTTTATGAGATAAGAACTCTAAATTTTTAAATTTTCTTAATCTTTTTCTTAATATAAATAACATACAAAATATTCTGTATTTGATATATTTTATCAAAGTTTATAATAAATATAAGCATCTGTATGCAACTCTAATTTATTATTCATAATTTCTCGTAAATTATTTCTATTTTGTACAAAAGTTATGCACTCAAGTTTTTCCTTTCAACTTTAAACTTTCTTCATTATGACATTCTACGTGACAGTGCAACATAAAAGCGCCGCGCGACACGCACCTCACACTCTGACGCAGGTATTCGCTCTCAAAATGCTCGCAGAAGCTCTCGACGAATTTGCGAAGGAAGTCGCGGTGCGAGAGGTTGGCGCGGGCGCTCTCGGGCAGGTTCAGACTAACGTAGGCACAGAATGCCTTGGCAAAGTCGGAGGCCGAGGCGCGGGCGTGTCTCTCGCAGAACTCGATCCAGCCGGTCGCTGCTTCCGGCGACGCGGCG